GTTGAAGAACGTTTGACGATGTCGGACGCAAGGGAAATAGAGAGGAAGCTGTTGCAAAGTTATTGTAATTGCTAACTATAAACAGTTATTTCATAGTGCGAAATACCCAATGTTAATAAGGAGTTTTAATGATGGAGAAATTGAGAACAAAAGGGAGTACAAAATTAATCAATCAATGGAAAACTTTGACGTGCTGTTGAGTAGACCCTCAAGAGAAGAATGTTTGTAACTTGTCCCATTCAAATTCCAAGTTCAGCGTGGTCTGATGTTTACTACATGTGCAATCCACATCTGTCAACCAGTGACCAATTTTAAAATTTTCTCAAAAGGCATGGCTGTACTCGATCACATTCGTCCGCGATGACGTCTAGCTCTATGCAACCCCTATTCATTGCTGTCTGAGTAGATGGTCAGCGAGAGTGCACAGCAAAAATATTGCAAAAATGATGCTATGACACTTAAGGGACATACTGGATGTCGAAATCTTGGCGTCAGTTCTCTCTTCAGCAAGTTCGGATAGGTGATCGGCTATTTGTCCGTAGCTGACTGGATACTCAAATGGATCCGATTCGGAGAAACACCTGGAGTAATCACTATACTTCCAAACTTAAGAATATTAATTTGAACAAAACCTAAAAGTTTCCAATTTCTCGTTATCGAAAATGACATCTTGCTGAGATAGCGATAAAGTCGATACCAATGCAGCATCAAATCGGCAAACAACGGGAACCCTAAGGAGGAGGACAATGCATAGCAAGAGATCAGGACGAAGAGTCTGTAATAAGGGAATTGCTTTGAAATCAAAACAGTTGAAGACAACTCTTACAGATTTATTCAAAAGAGACTCGACGGTTTTGTTGAAGGCCAGAGTCAATAGTTTGGTCAATGTATCACGAGCTCGAATTTCATCATGAGCATTTCCTCAAAAAACCATGCGAATCATACTGGTAGGAAAAAGAATAATAAGATATATCATAGGAAATGCATTTTTAGTCTATAATCAATAAGATAATAAAGAAGACTTTCTGTGGCTCCGAAGAAGCTTCAAATGCAATCCGCAAGATAAAGAAGCAGACTATATTAGAAACCGTTATAAGTAAAATGGTCGAACTGATAGAAATCTTGAGCAATCAACAATGCTCAAAACATTGAATTATATTTTTACAATCGGCAAAGAAACACTGTTTTTCAAATTTTTTAAAACAATTTTTGCCCTTTGAAATTTCTTTCTCATCATTATTGCACTTTCACTTTAAGAAAAAATTTACTCTAGGAGTGAACTAGCTTCTGAATACAAAAACTGCTTACGACACCAAAAGTGAAGTGAGAGTCGCAACTTTAACTGTATAGGCTACAAGCATGTTTTTTATGAGAATTCATTTCGAATCATCAATAAAACACTTCATGCTAATACTCTTTTATTTACTAATAATTGTAAATGAACACTTACCGAGGTTTTGAAGCACTGAAAGAGGAGCAACCAGCAACTTTCTATTAGTTAATTGTGGTCCAACATGTTCGACTGCGTGATCAGGTACCGGTATTAGCTGTAAAAACGGATAGTTTATTTTCCACCTTTCCCCAATTCTGGCAAACTCGCTGCTCCTGTGTGCACTAATGTTCTAGTTATGACATAGCATCTAAGCTAAGAAAAATTTATTGTTGGTTTCTATAGTGTTTCTACGGTTTGGTCGGAGGCATAAGTAGGAGACTGTCTATTTGTTCCTTAAATCCTTCTTACACCTGATAAATTGTACGAATATGTTAGCACTCTAAAATTTATCTATCGATTATCGAACTGTATTGATTTTCCGCAATTTTGCTTAGAATGTTGGGAATAGGTGCACTGGCATGAGATGACTCTAGTTACGAATTGATAACGACTTGAAGATGTTGTTGTAGGATGA